CACCTTCTGACCCACCAGGGCACTCTTCAGCCATCACACCCCATCTCGTATCCACTGGGAAGTAAGTACACACATGAAAGCAAGGTGACCTCTAACACTTCTGTTGATAGTGCGTCCTCAGATCTTTAAATGGGGAAGGAAAATTCATCTGCGGCAGCATTGTCATGGAAACCAAAAAAGGTAATGATTTAACAAAACATAACAAAATGCAAGAGACTACAAATAGTACATTCTAAAATGTATGGGGGGAAAATAAATAAATAAATAAATACATACATACAATGTATGGGGAATTCCCTGGCAGTCCAGTGGTTAGGACTCCAAGCTTCCACTGCAGGGAACACAGGTTCAATCCCTGGTCAGGGAACCAAGATCCTGCATGCTGAGCGGTACAGCCAAATAAATAAATAAGTAAATAAAAATTTAAATTAAAATTTTTTTTAAAACTGGGCCTTTAAAAAAATAAATAAAGGGCTTCCCTGGTGGCGCAGTGGTTGAGAGTCCGCCTGCCGATGAAGGGGACACGGGTTCGTGCCCCGGTCTGGGAAGATCCCACATGCCGCGGAGCGGCTGGGCCCGTGAGCCCAGCGCTGAACCTGCGCGTCCGGAGCCTGTGCTCCACAACGGGAGAGGCCACAACAGTGAGAGGTCCGCGTACCGCAAAAATAAATAAATTAATAAATAAATAAATTAATTAAATGCTATGATAGGATACATTTATAGAAAACAAACCAATTCATAGGTTAAATTTCCCAAACACACATCGCAATTACATATCAGTACTTGAATTAAAGAGTTTAGAATAACTCACACAAAAAACACAGGCTATGTATATCTCTGAAGCACAATTTCTGTTTGTTTAACTAATGTAGTATCAATGCGTAAAGTAACATTAGGTTTAAGGTAAAAACATTTACTTAGTTAACTTTTTTCATTCATAAGCCCTCCACTTTCATTAAATATTCTTTAAAATGTAAAGGTCTCCAAATTTATATTGGAACAATAATTTTTAAAAATTATATCAGTTTTAGCTGGAACTCCATAAGCAAAGAGGTTTGTATGGCTTAATTTGTACTATAACTGTTCACCTGTTATAGTATAGTTATAGTATAGTATAGTATAGTATAGTTATAGTATAGTATAGTATAGTATAGTTCACCTGTTTCACTTCTTTATTTTTAAGAGAAATTCAATGTCTATAATTTTTTTAACAGCACTGAGATATAATTCAGATCCCATACAATTCACTCATTTAAAGTGTACAACTCAATGGTTTTTAATCTATTCACAATGTCTGTGATATCATTCAAGGTTAAATGTTGCAACCAATGTAGAAATCATGAAAACCCACAGAGAAAATAGGAAAGAGGTCCACCAGGCCTAAGGAGAACACTAACTCATGAGTCAGTTGTTCATCATCGGTTCTTCACAGGATCAAGGTCTATATTTTATAAACATATTTAATACAATTTAACACAACATGTATTAATATAATTTAACATAAATATACTACATATATTTTCAATTCCTGTATCTACTTAAATTATATATAGTTCAGTCCTAGCTTCCATCTTGAATATAAACTGAGGCTAATATTCATCTGATGCAGAAAATCCAGAGCACACAACCTGATGGATGCATATATCCTAAATTTAAATCCAGTTTTTAGCTTAAACTAAAAAACAAATAGTTACTGCTTTACGTCCAGCAACGATGGGGCCTTCTGCTCTAACTTCATGAAGCATTTAGACAGCATAACAGCGATGTTGAGGGTGACTGTCCTTTTTCTCTTTGAAAAACAGCAGTAGTGTGCACATAAGCAAGAAACCCAAGGATTATCCATATCCCCTTCACAGCTCTGAGGAGCTTCTAACATCTTCTCAAAGCACATAACTGCTCTAGGATCTAGATGCTAAAGTTGCAACCACAGTTTAAAATAGCTAAACTGTGGATCCTGATTTAGCTACAAGTCTGTTACAAGTGTTCACAAAATTTTTTTTAACTATAAGTCAATGATTAACACTGAGAATAAAAGTACTTGCCCTTCCTTTACATGAGACCAAAGTGTATTCTTTTCTTTTGTCCATTTGGTTCTTAGCCTATACATATTAAATTTTGGCTAGAGTTAAATTCTCCTGAAATTACCAGAAGAACCATGGGGAGAAAGCTCTCCCTAAAGAAAAGCTGGTGCATAATAACAAAAACAGCAGAACACAGAAGTTCACTATGCTTTAAATCTCAATCATCAAAGTATTAGAGGAATAAAAGACCAGTTGTCATTTATGACAGGTTTGGATCTCCACTTATTTGCAGCCATGGAATCAGCATTTATTGGCAGTAGTGAAAGCAGGAAAAGGACAAACTTCACACCAAGTTCTAATTTTTCAAATAAACAAAACTAGCAGTGGACAATCACCCCTACTCACGTCTATAAAAGCTCTTCAACAATATTCTTCAACCACAGTCTAATTTTACAGGGCCCAATTAACAAGGGGAGACCACTGATACAACGAAAAGGCCAGTCCCCAATCTATCAACTCCAACCTGCAGGCCTTTTCCCTGTTAATGGGGGGGAAAAAAAAGAGTAAAGAATGAATAGTAATGTGGTATACATTAAAGCTGTAGGATCAAGGTCTTACAGAATTATCACATTGAGAGCCATTTTTCATATCCTAATAGCCTTAATTTGAAACAGTATATGTATTTTTTCTCCAAGTATTCATATTTATTAACCATCTCATTTTACAGCCAGTATAAATTTTTACTTTACTAAATAAACAGAAGAAAAATTGTCAGTGAACATATTCAAAAGTGAGGTTAGGAAGTGAGCCCCACATTAGTTTCTCTCTGCTTCTACCCTGCTGTGAATCACAGCTGTCAATGACACACTATGAAATCCATACAAACATGTTGTTCAAAGCAAAATATCAGCCCAAAGTTCTGAACCCCAAGAACCTAAGTATGTACAGTAAAAATCAAAGAACTACTGATACAGAAAACTTAGCTCTTCTTATGCACGGACTCCCTGGCTACAGCAGAACAGCAGGTCCACTTCTAGACAGTGTAATTCACTGGTTTTGTCATGAAAACAACACATGGGTATTACAATTAAAAAAAGTATTAAAAAATCTGCCTCAAACCCCAGATTCCTAGTGCTTTTCTTGGATATGATCCCCGTCAAGTTTCGTGTGAATCCTCACAGTAGTTTTCTAAGCAATACAGGCATGTTTAAGTATACATCTGTGTGTGACATGAGCACAAACACAAATTTGGAATGAACAAGTAAAAAATTTTGGAAAAAAACATAAATTCCTTACTGTACAACATGAACACCATGGTTCATGAGTTTAAGTCACACCGAGGAGAAACCCAAGGAAGGAAGCTTTGGCTAATCACCCTTTTCTTCTGCTAAAAATAATCATAATAATTTGCCCTGTCCTTCAATATGGTAACAACGATACTTGTTAATTCATTATGTGAAAATAGGGTGCATTTCATAGCTTTTACAAGCAAATTTGATGTTAGCCAACTGCTCCATAACCAAGCGTCTATGAATGTCAGCACCCCCAGTTTCTGGGAATCTCTGCCCTGATTATGTCTGCTGTTTTGGTAATGCCCTTACTCTGTTTTTAGCTACTTTCTGGAATCACTTTAATTCGGTGTGACACAAGATACCAGACACCACTTGAAAGTCCTTCTGCGTTTCCAAAGTGCACCTCTGCTCTTGGCTTTTCGCACCTCTGTTACTGAGTTCCCGTTTTCTACACCACCCTCCTCTTTCCTGCTTCTGGCAAAAAGCTACACCACGCTGGTTACTGTGATTGTTCCAAGTAGTCCTGTGCCACACATCCACCACGTATTGATGGAATTTTAAATTTCCCAAGTCCCTGACTGTGAGGTTCTTGCTGCAATTGCAACTTGTCACCACAAGGCAGGAGCCATTGAGTTCCTCCTGGCCGTGGGCACTCCTGCTTTGCAACCTGTTTGCCTGGTGTCATGCACTTCATGCCTTGCTTCACAAGTGTCTTCTGACTGGAAACAGGGATCGTACTCCAAGCCCTTTTCTCCTCTAAGAGAAAACCACCCTTTTGAAACTCACTGGCTGGCCATCTTCCCGAGAAGTTTACATCACGCCTAACAGCAGCATCATTTATCTTAAAACAAGCACTGTTTCCTACCGTCTGAAACTCTGGCACCAACTCACGGTTAAGAAAGAACAAGGGAACCAACTCCGTTAGTTTCCACGCTGCCTAAGTAAAATATGCAGAGAACCGCTTGGGGCACAAACGATCAATACCACGCCTGCCCCACCCACCCCCAAATTCACCTGGGATTCGAGTTCACCCTACATAAAAGTTACTCAGCTTACAACGTTACTTCCAAAGGACTGGAACACACCTCCAATCATCGTACCAGCAAATCTTCTGGGGGATCCCCACTGCTCCTCAACTGTGCCAGAAACCACCAAAAACGGCTGAGACTTCGCAGGCAAGGAGGAAACCGCCCTTCTCCCCACACCGCTGGCCGCCGTTTCCGCAGGGGGCAGGGAGTGGCGTCCAGGCCCGCGCAGGGCACCCGGCGGCCGCGAGCTCACATTCGGCAAGCGGGAGTTACGGCACCGCACAGCGAGGCGTGACGACGTGGCCAAGGCAAGACAGCGCACACAGCGCCTCACCTGTGCGGCCCTGCTCGGGACCCGCGCGGCGGAGGGAAGGCGCCAACCCAAAGGGGTTCGCGAGCCGAGAGCGGTCGGGAGGCTGGGCCCGGCGACAGCGGCGAAGCCCCGCAAGGTACACAGGCCCAGGCCCGACGCCGGCGCCCACCCAGGCGGACGTGCCGCCCCTGGTCAGGACGCCCCAACGTGGGCGGGTGCGCTGGGGAGTGAGCGGACCCCAGACCCGGGAGGACTTGGAGCGGGCGGGGACGCCTGACCCTGCGGGGTCGTGGCTGACAGGAAGGTAAGGGCCGGGGGCGTGTCGTGGTCCGCTGCGCTCACTCACCCAGGCCGGCAGGTCGCAGGCGCGCACCCCCAGGCGCACGGCGCGCTCCTCGTCCTCCAGCAGCGCCAGCGCGCGGCACAGACGGGTGGCCTTGAGGCCGCGGCTCCTGCGGCACCACACGAGCAGCCCGAGCGCCAGCAGCACCCAGCTGAAGCTCAGGCCCAGGTAGCCCAGCGCGTACACCGGCAGCAGCAGAGCGAAGCTGCGCGCCAGCTGCACCAGCAGCCCCGCCACGTCCACGCTCAGCGCCGCGCCGGGGGGTTCGGCCCCGGCGGCGCCGGCCTCGGGGCCCGGGGCCCGGGCGCCGCTCATCGCCCCGCCGCGCAGCTTTCCGGTTGGCTCCGGGCCGACGCGCCTCAGCCCGCCCGCCAGCGCCCCTCTGACGGGACAGCGCAGCCGCCCTG